GAATCTTCCCTTCTCCACATTCAACATCGCGTTCTGTCCTCTACATTTTTCGCAGTTTGCTTGATTCTCTGGGTGGACTTGGAGAATTTCTTTGAATGTCTTACTATCCACCCTACTCGGGCGCTCCGGGATATCCCCCCGCAGCAGCCGTCATACCCCCCCGCAACAGCAGTACCCGTATGCTTGCTTATCCCTTGGCTCTATTGACAATGTACCCAGAGAGTCTGACAACGATTTGATTGTAGACAAATGAATCACCAGCAGCAGCCATCCTATGGCGGCTATCCCGGCCAGTCCTACCACCAGCAGCCGCACCAGCAGCCACCGCAGCAATCCAACCCGTACGGTTATAGCCATTCATCCCAGCCATCTCACCAGCCCTACGGCGGGCATGCTCCCCAGCAAAGTTACAATGTATGTCCTGATGAGTCTTGCGTCGAGTATACACGAGATTGACATGTATCAATCCTTTCCAGGCTCCGCCGTCCGGGTACAATCAGCGTCCGCCCTCTGGGCAACAAATGCAAGGAAGACCAGGTCTGTCCAGCATTTTCCAACGAACCGCATCTTCAGCAGTGAAAACTAATAATGCGCAAATCTAGCCTACGGTCAAAGCGGCGGTCCGGCTCCCCCTCCCAGCAACCCTGTCTCCTTCGGTCACGGCGCTCCCCAGGGCTATAGCTTCCAATATTCCCGTTGCACGGGCAAGAGAAAGGCCTTGTTGATTGGTATCAATTACTTCGGTCAGAAGGGTCAGCTGCGCGGATGTATCAACGATGTCAAGAACATGTCAACCTACTTGAACCAAAACTTTGGTTATGCTCGCGAGGACATGGTTCTCTTGACTGATGACCAGCAAAATCCGATGAGCCAGCCGACCAAGGCAAACATTCTTCGGGCTATGCACTGGCTGGTCAAGGATGCGCGTCCCAATGACTCGTTGTTCTTCCACTACTCTGGTTAGTAATCAGTCCTCGATCACTTCTATGACGGTGACTAATAAGAATCCAGGCCACGGCGGTCAGACACCTGACTTGGACGGCGATGAAGATGATGGGTATGATGAAGTTATCTACCCGGTGGACTTCCGGGTTGCAGGACACATTGTTGATGATGAGATGCACCGTATCATGGTGCGGACGCTACAACCGGGAGTCCGGCTTACTGCGATCTTCGACTCCTGCCACTCTGGATCTGCCCTGGATCTCCCCTACGTCTACTCCACCTCCGGTGTGCTCAAGGAGCCTAACCTGGCCAAGGAGGCTGGACAAGGGCTGCTTGGTGTGGTGTCAGCATACGCGCGTGGCGACATGGGCAGTATGATGTCCACCGCCATGGGTTTCATAAAGAAGGCCACCAAGGGTGACGAAGTGTATGAACGCAACAAGCAGACTAAGACTAGCCCCGCGGATGTCATCATGTGGTCTGGCAGTAAGGATGACCAAACCAGTCAGGATGCCCAGATTGCCGGCCAGGCCACTGGTGCTATGTCCTGGGCTTTCATTGCCGCGCTTCGGAAGAACCCTCAGCAGAGTTATGTCCAGCTTTTGAACAGCATTCGTGATGAGCTTGCGACCAAATATTCCCAGAAGCCACAGCTGAGCTGCAGCCACCCCTTAGGTAAGAATTCCCGGGATTAGGTATTTAGTCACAATCAAATTCTGACAACCCCTACAGATACCGACATCCTTTACGTGATGTAATTGCACTTGGAAATGAAGACGAGGAACGATGCTTGTCTAGCTTTCAATGAAGCATGCTGTGTTTAACGAATTACCCTGTATGTAACTCCAGCCTCGGTGTTCTAGTGAATATTTGGGTGGTTGGTGCACTATTTGTGATTAATTCTTATGAATCTGTGATCTATCACTGTTTATCTTTTGAAAATGGAGTGCAAATTAGCTCAATGACGATACGTATCGGTCTTTCTGACATCATCGTAGACAATTACCTAGGTAACTGCACTGGGCATTTGCACAACATATGTACTTCTGGTGTAGCAACATGGGAAAATCCCAGGTACCTTCGTTATTGGTCAACATCAAGATCAGCAGGCTACAAGCTCTCCGTGAACTAGACATGTTTCGACTGTTCAACTTGATATGGAATCCGTCATTAGCGGGAGAGCTGACCGAGTGATATGGGTGTGGCGCTGTACGGATTTCATATCCTCAAGGGCACTGTCCTATGTCATTTTTGCCTCCCAAGGAGCCTCCGAGGAGATAGAAGCTCTTCAACTGATTTGAACACTCGAGTAACAAGCGCGGATGCGATCCGGAATCGTATATCTCCGAATCAAGCAAAATGCAGTCAATTCTCCAGCACCGCAGGATCCGCAGAAAGATCCAGCAACAATTTGTCACAAAACATGAGAAGCCCGGTGATGTCTGGACCCATGAGGGTCGCTACGATTACCACGATGGAGAAATCCACTCGTATCCTCGCGAGCCAGCCGATGACTGGGCTGCCGAACGAAGGAGGGAACACGGCCATCGCACTTTTATATCTGGGCCCTCCCTTCAACCTCGCCATACCGCTGGGTCACATCTGGGGCGGGAAGGAGATATCGAGGGCGCGGAGATGGACCCGGAAATCTCAACCGATCCGCATACCATCAATGCGGAAGAGACACTGGGAAACACGGCTGATATCATGGTGACTGGTGTTGAAAGATCCTGGCCAGCTGACTATGCAACGGATAGTGAGACTGATGTTGAGTCGGTAAAAAGGAACAAAGTCATCATCGTCACATTTGAAGGTGACTGTGACACAATGGATCCTCATAACTGGACACTCAGGCGTCGAATGCTTACGACTATTCTCACTTCACTCACTGGATTTGTGATCTTCTGGTCATCCGCAATCGATGCCACTGCCTACACAACCACCAAAAAAGTGTATGGTACCACTCCTGTGATTCAGGCGTTACCGACTGGTATGTGGTCAACACTTTGAATATATTCTGACCGGACTAACCGAGATCATCCAGCTGTGTTTCTGATGGGTACTGGACTAGGCGCAGTGGTTACAGCACCTATTTCAGAAGTCCTTGGACGCAACCCCGTGTACATCCCCACCATTATCGGGTTCATGTTGTTCGACATGGGCGCCGGGCTTTCCAAAACAGTGACGCAGCGAATTGTTTGCCGCGGTTTAGCTGGATTCTTTGGGTCTGCCCCGGCGGTTCTATCAGCGGCATCCCTCGTGGACGTCTGGTCACGCATTGAAAGAGTTTACGCCTTCCCGATCTTTGCGATCATCATCTTCACGGGCCCATTGGTGGGACCAATTCCAGGATCATTCGCCGTCAATGCACATTCGGTAAGCTGGCGCTGGGTGGACTGGATGACCATCATCCTGGCAGGACTCGTCCTGATCCCGGTTGTGCTCCTCCTGCCCGAGACATACAGCCCGGTCCTTCTGTACTGGAAAGCGAAAGAGCTCCGCCGCCTGACAGGCGACGACCGGTACCGGTCTCCACTAGAGTTCAGAAAAGCCACCTTCACCCATCGCTTGCGTGCCTCGCTATACCGACCATTTCAGCTTTTTGTGACTGAACCGATCATCTTGATCCATGCGTTCTCCCTCTCCCTCCTCTTCATGATCCTCTACGCATTCATCGCGGGCTATGTCTTCATCTATGAGCTAGCAAACGGGTTCAGCCCGACCTCCACCTCCATCGCATTCCTGGGCATTGAGGTCGGAGTTCTTTTTTCTGCACTGGTGATCCCGGTTTCGATGTGGCTCCTCCGTAGAGAAATCTACCGCAGCCGTGAGAGGGGCCAGCAACGCCCGGACCCGGAGATCAGTCTGTATATGGCTTTGTTCGGTGCGCCTTTCGTCCCCATCTCGCTGTTCTGGATGGGCTGGACGGCTAAAATCGAAATCTCGTATTGGAGTCCGCTTGTCGCTTCGGTATTCTTTGGTTTTGGGACGATCTGTCTTTTCGTCTCGGGATACCAGTACGTTGCCGATGCGTTTGAGGCATATGCCGCAAGCGCCCTCTCATCTCTTCAGTTGATGCGGCTTGTTTGTGCTGGTGGTATGAGGATTGCTGCGGAACCGATGTATAAGAGACTTGGAGTTGGATGGACGTTGACTCTCTTGGGTGGGATTTCATTTTTGTTTTTGCCTGTCCCTTATTTGCTCTACTGGAAGGGGTATAAAATCCGTTCGTATAGTCGGTATGCACGCAGGAATGAGAGCTGAGGTATGTGTGCATAGAGACATGGAGGCCATGGAGATAGTCTGGGCTTTTAAGTATGGCGATGAATGTCGCTATCCTAGCTAGTGCGCGCCTGTTGATTTTGATATGCTCACTGGGTTCTCAAAGCCGAACCCCATCGTACAAGAAAATTGGAAGCTAATGATACGTTTTAAAATTTACTTGCTCTTTTTAGGTAGAGATCCTCCATGCTGTAAACCCGAACTACTTGCTAGAGAATGAGGTCCTTGTCACAGGTCTTGATCTCGACCTTGTCCACTATATCACTTCATCTTGAGCTACCAATCAAATCTGAAATTTTTCTTTCTCTGCAACGGTTCCTCATACCATGGATATAAATGAACAAAAAGTCCTTTGGGAAAGAAAGAGAAATGCAAAGCAGACTAACCCGATATGAGTGCTGAATATGGTACAACTGTGGATAACATGTTATTAAGGTGTTATTAACACTTTAATAATATGTTATTAAAATATTGTTTTCATATTAAGTCTCTACGTATTTACATAGATGTTTCCCTGATTATAGCCTGTTTTATACAAAAAAAAGACCCAAACAACTTTAATATAGAGTGGACGGGAATTCGGGAGGTCCAAAAAGGTGGGCGATCATTGGAGGCGGACGAATAGATTAATGCATTAATCCACTTTCCCGCAGCCCTACTTCTAGCCCCACCTCCAGTCTATACAATGTATACAATGTAAACAATGTAAACAATCTACCCTGTACTCTTCAAGCATTGTAATTGACCTTTTAGTCAACATTGCTATCGGTATTTTAGGTTGAATTGCGATTGGACATGCCATTAGAAACCGTGACCGAGGGGGAGGGGGACGACGGGGTCGGATCGGCGACCGAAGCAAAAAGAGAATTGTACCAAGCTAAATATTTTGTCAATAGGGCATATATATGGAAAGTCAGACTATTCAGCTTACCTTGAACTTTCTGCAGTTCAATGTAAGTGATCCGACCTATAACACCATCGGCAACTTCCAGGTCTTCACTGTGACGGCCAACATGCTACTTTAATTCTGCAGTCAGGTAAGGATGCTAGGCACAGTAAGCGAAACAATCCTCTATGGATTCATGATAGATTGGTGGTAATGTATCATGCGTCTAGGGCCTGGTCCACTCACATCGCTGGCAGGGCACCCTGCGTAACGACGGTATTGCTCGCCAACGTGGAAAATCACACAGTTCTTCTCATCTTATATTGTATAGGATATTGATCAGACATTGTATACTTCCTCTGCATAACTCTCATTTCTCAAGGGCCGCTCGAATGAAGTCACCTACCCTTTCATATTCCAGCATCACAAGTTCCCCAGAAGCAACTTCACGAATGTAACGGAGATAAGCAGGATGCTTAGCTAGAAAGGTAGGAGCAGACATGATTAAGGTGCGATGAAACAGAGATAGGGAGCCGAAGAAATCATGGGCAGGTTCCTTTGAAGTTTGCGAGAATTTTATGGGGGAAACCAAAATCCCACTTGCTCCTAAAAACCTGTAGATCTATCTACAACGGTCTGTATAAGACAGGGTCACGTGCGGCTATCAAACCAGTCGCGCTTCGACTTCAAACACGCGCCCAACTTCAAACATTTGATTTCTGATTTTTCGGAAGACCCCAGCCTTCCCTATAATCTCACTCATGGGTATTGCCAGAACGCCACACTGCAACACTCACTGAATCCCCGCTGATTCTGACCATGATTCCATTCCGTGATGTCCATCATCCTTGAAGACAACCAGCCCCCCGGGTTTGTACGTCTCGGTCCCACATGGTATCATGAGATTCCCTTTCTACCCTATGGATGGGAGACAACCAATGATCGAGGATCTGGATCACTCAAGCATGCAGCAATGAAAGCACTGCTGCAGGACCAGTCGGCACTGAAGCCCGAGCTGTTTGAATATATTTCCTGGTATTTGGCAAAATACCTCTGGGATGCCCTAAAAAGGTGGTAAGTCATAATTAGAGGTCTCAACTCTGTTTTTTTTTTTTTTTTTTTTTCGAACCTGACCGCCTACACAGCAACAAGCAGACAATGCACATGTGGAAAATAATGACCAGAGTTTATCCTGAACAATTCCATGAGGTTAGTCCTTACTACTGCCTCAATGCTGGCTGTCCTAAAACGCCATTAAGAGACTACATGGGTATTCTTAATAGCGATGACTTTCGCTGGCGTGCAATCTTGACGATTGCAACTACCTACTGCACTGCCACAGACCTGGCTACTATACCAGACATCAAGAATTTGGTTGCTCTGGACGTTTACAGTGAGCCATATTCGTTGAATCTCGCCCCGGTGGAACCAGTGCGTGCCAGCAACGACGGTATGCCTTTGCAAGATGGGTTTGTGCGTGGTTGGATTGAATCCAACGCACTCCAACACCTCCGCATTCTTAGGTTTTACCACCAACGCGAAATCACAATTGCGACACTGGAAGCTCTACGTGAACTGCCAGAGCTACAGCTAGTTGTGGCGTACGAGTGTAAGATGATCACTGAGAAGATTCAAAGTTACGATAGGCCCGCAAATAATATCATTCCCATAAAGGGATGGTCGGCCTGCAGACTCGATTGGTTTTGGGAAACCCATGGAACTACAAAGACAATCGATGATAATCTCTTGTCCTTGCTTCATGTGTACCAGTCTAGCCTCCAAACATCCGGAGTCGAGGAGTCAAAAAGGCCATCATCCCTACCCACGAATCTCTCGATTTTGGAGTTCAAACTACCAACTGCCGACCACAGCAGAAGAGACAGGGTTATTGTTCGCTCTCGCTATAATGCAAAATCAATTGTACTGTTTACTCGAGATCCTGTGAAGCAAAAACTTGATATCGAGAAGAAGAAACGTGCAAGGGAGAAGAAGCGGAGTGAACCAACCGAACGAGGAGATCGCCCTGCCAAGCGAGCAGTCATGAAAGACAGGGGACCAATAGACATCTCGGAGACTTTGAACCAGTTCTTTTGATGTGTTGTCTATATAGACAGGGGACATGGGTTCCGCAATGGAATATCAGTTCTGCGCCATTTCCGAAGTTATGGTCTAGCACTGTTTTGAATTCTTGCCATATATTATATAGCCTGTTTCCAAGGTTCGAACGTGTTGGACCTTGGAAGGTCATCCCACACTTGGCTTCTAGTTAGGTCACGGGCAAAGATTTAAATCGAAACTTTGAGTCTTGACTTCGTTCTCTTAATTTATTACACAAGCTGATCAAGACCTTGATACCGTTCTTGCTGTTTATGAAATCATCTACAGTCTGACCAATTTTGGATTGGATTTCTTGAGAAAGTCTCAATAGAGGAATGCTGTTCATCTGATTATTGCATGCTTTGAGTATGCTATATCTTATAATAAATCTTTGTATTTTTCCATGGTTCGTTGAATGGCCCGTCTATTCTGCATCGGAGTCAAGGTCAGGCTCAATAAGAGGGAATGTCAAAAGCGCGGCGATGCCACCCAGCCCCTCCAGACGTTTCCCACTTTCATGATCTGAGCTGAGAATTCGCACATCACCACCCTCAACATCACGGACACGATCCACAAGCGACACCCACCGTTTACGCTCAGCGATATCTTGGGATCGAAACAAGCGGTTCGAAACAATGAGCACGCCGCCACCTCGGCCGACAGCACCTTGTTCAACTGCGTGCTCAACCTCGCGAGGACCATAGGTTGCTTTGTTGGTCTCCTTGCGCAGTTGTTCTAGGAAGTCGTCCATCAGCTTGGTCTCACGAGCATACTTAGTATCAGCCAGGATGGTCTTAACTGCAGGTGACTGCAGGACCTCTGATAGTGAATTCGTGTAACCGGATGCGGAGTGCACAACCACGAGACTAGGAAGAAGTCGCTTGAGTCCAGGAGTCGTTGTTGATGCCTCGGATTGGATGTATTTTTGGAAGCCAGAGGCCACAAACCCGGGCGAGGCGAGAAGCACGGGCCGCACAGCTTCGTTGTTGGCGCCTGAGGTAAGACTGGTATTGAACTCCATTTGTCGAAGGAGCGTCTCGAGTGTGACTTTGAAAAACTTGCTCATTCCCTGGAAATGCAGTGTAAGTTTTGAACCTTGCCAATAAAAACAATAACACAACAGCAGAAACTCACTTTATCATGATCCCCTCCCCCCTGCCGTTTCCGCGGCACAGACATCTCGATCTTTTGCTTCAATATTGTCTGGAATTGGCCAATAAAGCAGATATGAGCCAGTCCTTCCTGCATAACTACTGCGACAGCCTCCGCACGGCGCTTCCCGCCCTCATCCACAGCGTCCTTGAGTGACTCAATTGCAATACTGTCCCACCCGACACCTTCTCCATCTGACCCGACCTCTTTCTCTAACGTGAAATTGCGGTTCAACTCTAGATCAAGTGTATGGAATTGTCCAATTTTGGTGTGCGGTGTTTCGTTCATAATTTGTCCTGATACATGGAGCTGGGAGCTCTGCGGATCAAAGTCAAGATTCTTCACGCGAATTACGAGGTTCAGGTGGACCCGCGACGAGCTCGTGGACCCGGTATCTTGAACTGTGGTAACTCGACGAATTGCACTGGCTCGGAGGATATCGCCTGGTCGGATCAGGTTGTATGCGTGCCACTGGATTTATCGGATTGCATGTTAGATGAGTGCGGGGTGCTGAGACTGGAAGTGAGGGCTTCGATACCATGTCTTCTGGTTCGTCTGGGCACAATGTAACCGCTCCAGAGCCATTGTGCTCGATCTTGTTCTTGATACAACGCATTTCTGCGGTGATATTGCACGGTTATAGACCGAGGGTTTGGGAAGGTAAAATGCGATGAAGGAGAGTTAGATGTTGTTATTGCGATGTCGTCATATGTTGCCAAGGAAATGCGCAAATTGGAGGAATGACAGGACTGTATAAAAACAGATTAAGCCCCTAATAGCTTTGGAATGCTCCTATTCAAGGGGATATTCGAGCAAATCAACCTAACTTGAGAGCATTGACGATGTTGAACTTGCCAAACTCAACCCCACTATATAATACTGCCGTTTATTACCGCCGGGCCATCCTGCAAGATATCACTTGCTCTGCTGATGCGCTCATTCCGGGAGATTCATTTTAGTGTTTGATGGGCTGTTAGAAAATAAGGAAAATAGGAAATTCCTGATCTTCTAAGCTGCTAAAATATATGATATCAAGTATGAATATTACCTTGCACCGCCATCCATGGATATTCCGCAACCATTTCTTATCGATAAGACCAAACCCTAATCAGATCAGATTGGGGCAAAGTTGACGTCAAAGCTAGAAAGTCTCCAGGGAAAGTCCAATCCGATCTCCAATTGTCCTATCAGGGCAGACTCAAAGGACAATTCTTAATTCCTGGGTACTAAGTCCCTTATATCCGTCAAGTTACTCATATGAGCCCCACGTCGCATTGATCAGCCATTGATATAGCCACATCTAGTCCCCGATGTGGTATATCCCCACTTAGATGGCGTCAAGCTCCAAGAAACGGGCGGAAATTACTAGACCGAGGTGGTCCGTGGATGTCCAAACCTTTTATCTATTAATGTAGCCCCCCTCATTTACCTTCTTGTTCTTTTCAACCATCAAAATATTCGCACATCATGGCTCCTCTTTCGCTGCAGTCTACCTACAAGTTGGTCTCGGGCTACGAAATCCCCGTCGTTGGATTCGGAGTGAGTAGATTGACCCTTGGAGTTCTGATATCCATGACTGACACCTATCTTCTGCATTAGGTTTACCAAACGTATGATTCTCGGTGTATCAAGCCCCCGCGCCAGATTATGTTGACTGATTCTTGACCAGTCCCTCCGATGTCACCGAGAAAGTGACTCGCAAGGCCATTGAGCTCGGATACCGTCATGTAAGCAGTTGCAGAATCCTAGCAGCAGGTGTTCTAGATTTTAACCATCCTATTACAGGTCGATAGCGCTAAAGTTTACGGAAATGAACTGGAAAGTGCCGCCGCCATCCGTGCGTCTGGACTTGAGCGCTCGCAGATCTTCTATACTAGCAAGGTGCCCTCCAAATCCATGGGATACGAAAAGGCAAAGAAGGCCATTGAGGAAAGCATCGCTGCGGCAAACCTTGGCTACATTGACCTGTGAGGACCTCCTTCTCCGGAAAACAAAGCGAATTACCGAACTAACACTGTGGCTATCAGTCTATTGATTCACGCACCCTATGGCGGTAAGGAGGACCGCCTTGGCACATGGCGCGCACTCGTGGAGGCCCAAAAGGCAGGTCATGTCCGCTCGCTAGGTGTGTCCAACTTTGCTATCCAGCACCTCGAGGAGTTGGAAGAGTACATCAAGAGCGGAGCGGGCGGACAAATCACTGTCGGTCAGTACGAGATCCACCCGTGGTGCCCACGCGATGATATCGCGGAATGGCTGCAGAAGCGCAACATCGTTGTCGAGGCATACTCTCCCCTCGTGCAAGCGACCCGCATGAAGGAGCCTGTTCTGCAGAACCTAGCTAAGAAGCACGGTAAGACCGAGGCTCAGATTTTGGTCCGCTGGAGTTTGCAGAAGGGATATGTGCCCCTGCCTAAGTCGGTGACCGAGTCTCGCATTCTAGAGAACTCGCAGGTCTTCGACTTCACACTGTCGGATGAGGACATGGCCAGCCTGAAGCTCAACACGTACGAGCCCGTCTGCTGGGATCCCGTCCGTGACTGCAAGATCTAAATGACGTACCCGAATCAGCAAAATCCTAGCATACAAATAGAATTAAGGAATCAAATTCCAAGCATCCAAAAAACACACTGAATATAGATCAATAATAGAACCTCGGAAAGAGTGTACCAATTTGGTAATATGTTGACTTCCCGCGGTCGGCACAACGTATCACCGCCAACCAAAAAAGAAACATCGCGACTTCCAACCTTTTCTGATACAACTCACCACAGCCCTCCATCCCCATGATCGTACAAGCAGCAGGCAGTCGCTGCCACGGTTGCCCCCACTATGCCGGATGAGCCGCGTCGCATCATCTTGGAGAAATCCAAGACCGTTAAACGCCGGTACCAGCGCAGCAACCAACGATTTCAGTTCACCGCATCCCAGATCGCACGGCTAGATCGCGAGGAGGAGCGAGAAAAGAAAGCAAAGAAACTACGTGAGAAGGAAAAGAAGCGAATTGCCAACAAGAAACGGAAAGCCGAGCAGGAGGCGCAGGCCCGTGAAGAGCGGAAGCGTCGCGGCATCCCGGATCCCAATGCAGCACGCGTCCCATCGAGTCAACCGCTGCTGTCAATGTTCCTAGGGGCTGGCAAGCGGCAGTCACCTGCTATACCGGAGCCTGCGCCTACAGTTACGGAGATCGAATCACATGATGACAATTTGGGGAGCGAGGGTGGAGATACGGAAGCTGAATCGGATGCCTTTGACGACCTGGATGAGGAATTGGAAAATGACCTATTTGAGCTTCAAGATGTAGGCGTTCTGAAAGAGCTTGAAGGTCAGGATATCGGCACCGCGACCCGTACTTCATTCAAGGATGAGGATGAGTTCTCGGACTGCTCGGCGTTCGACGATGAAGAAGTTATGAAAAAAGCCCAGGCGGCTGCTACCACGCTAGCGACTGACGAAGAAACGAAGAACCCCTCTATACCCAATGAATCATCCTACCTACAACCTCCCCCGGCTGTGCTCAAGCTAGAATCATCTTTTGGGGAATCTTTCCAGTACGACCCCGCCGATTTCCTTGAAGCTGAAGCAGCTATTATTACACAAACGAATAGTCCCGGAACGAAAGATCATTCTCCACCCAAGGAAGCATCCTGTTTACAGCCTTATTTGTCTGATCGACCGTGCAGTAGACCCACATTGGCGTCTTCTTTTGGAGATTCATTTCGAGACGAGACTGCGGATTGGATTGAAGAAGCATTTGCACACGGAAGCGGTGACCCTTTTGACGAACTGAATAAAAACCTCTCTCAATGATTTCATTTGAACTTGGTAAATCGCTTCAGCAGCAGTTTGTCGCAAGTCTTCCAGCTTTGGAGTCCCTATTCGTATATTGCCAGGGAAGCCTTGGCACAATGGAAATCGGGTCCGGTCCGACAGTCGGGTGATATCCGCCCATTTCGGATACACGAAGCCATTTCGGTTCGGATATTTTGGAGTAAGAACTGAGAGCTGAATTGTTCCGACGGAATGACCAGAAACGGTTTGGAGGATTCAGAACACTGTGTACACTTGTATATTTTATTATTGTAGCCAGAATCTTATCGGGAATGACGTTACACTTATCATTTGTATACAACATAGGTCTCCAGGCTTGTCCGCTTCTCTATTCCTTCATTCCCCCATTCCTTCATACACTGTCTTGAAAGCACATCCCCATCGGACTCCCAACCCACAATGCCGTTCGTCCAAGCAAATGACCACCGTCTCTACTATGCCGACTCCCACCCCGCCGGCCCTCCAACCCCAACCGGCCTAACCTTCATCTTCATTCACGGGCTAGGCTCTTCACAAAACTACTATTACCCAGTAATCCCACATCTTACAAAACTTCACCGCTGTATCACAATCGACACATACGGCGCCGCCCGCTCCCCATACACCAATGACACAGTCACGATCCCCGGTATCGCAGAGGACGTCATCGGCGTTCTGGACTCGCTGCATGTCCCCAAGGCCGTCGTAGTCGGCCATTCAATGGGCGGACTCGTAGTGACAGAGCTAGGCGCACGGTATCCCGACCACGTACAGGGCGTTGTAGCCATTGGGCCGACTCACCCGTCAGATACGTTGGTGACGGTCATGAATAAGAGATCGGAGACTGTTCTTGAGTGTAAGTTCTTTCTTATTGTAGTCTACCTGATTGAGTGATTCTGTTTTATGCGGTTTTTTTTCTTTCTCGGATTTCCATACAAATGTGCTAAATCCTCTGCAGCTGGAATCGAGCCAATGGCAAATACCATTCCCTTTGGAGCTGTCGGCTCACGCAGCACCCCGCTTCAAAAGGCTTTCATCCGGGAGTTGATTCTGGGACAGGATCCGAAGGGTTATGCTGCACTGTGTCGCGCTATTGCTGCCGCCAAACCCGCGGACTATGCTGCTGTTAACGCGCCTTTCCTGCTTATTGCGGGTGAGGAGGATAAGTCTGCTTCTATGGAGGGGTGCCAGTATATCTTTGATCATGTCTCCAGCAAGCAAAAGTCATTGGAGGTGTTGAAGGGAGTCGGGCATTGGCATTGTATTGAGGCTGCTGATGAGGTGGGTGGGTTAATTGCCAAATTTGCGAATGTTGTGAATGCTTGAAAGAGACTCTATTTAGAAGAGAATAATGAACATGCCAGTCAATCTTTTTGGTTATCTTGGTTATATTTAATGCCGCTATCGTAAAGTACATCAAGAATCACAAATTGCTACTTAAATCCTGCTGCTCGCCCATGCGCCGCCATCGGCACTAGGCTCGAACTTGACCAGTTTAACATCGTATTCGAGCTCAATGGCAGCTTGAGGATCATCCTTGCGCGGCACAAAGTCCACAACAAGCGAATCCTTGACAGCGAACACAGAGTCATTGTCAAGGTACTTATCCTTGCGGTCGAAGATCTGTGTTGTCAAAGGACGGTAGTTATCATAGGTAGCCTGGGCAAGATATTAGCTTCCGCCTCAACAACCCCGACATCAAAAATACCAGGGTAAAACTTACAAGAATGTGAATGTGCGCAGGACGGAAAGGGTGACGATCCATCAACTCAAGAAGCTTGCCAGCAGGACCATCGTTCGGAACAGGATACGGCGTCGGACGCAGGCAGTAAAACGCGTACTTTCCATCCTCATCCGTCTTGAACTTGCCGCGCAGATTGAACTCAACTTGGTCGGGGTCCTGCTGCTCATATAACCCGTTCGTAGAAGCCTGCCACACCTCAACCGTCGCACCGACAAGAGGCTTCTTGGTCTGGAAGTCTATGACACGACCGTGCATGAAGGTCATCTCACCATCAGCCGGTTTCGTCTTGACGATATCCTCGCCGTTCTCACGATACGGTGTATCAGCGCGGAAGAACGGGCCCAGGATGGCCGTGGCTGTGGGCGCATCTTGTGCTTCTTCGGCGAGAGTGAAGGTGATTTCGTCAACGAGACTATTGTGAAACGAACATTCGTTAGCTGCTGAATCTTTTTCGCAAACAACACTTTGGCTTACGATTCCAGTCCTAGTACATCGCAAACTAACTGTCCCTCGTTCCGCTTGTCGTCGCTCATCCGTCCCGCCCAATTGAGCATCTGCACGCCGGCCATCCACTCGTCGACTGTGAGCTCCTCCTCGCGCGCAAAGTCGTGCATGTGTCTGATCAGGCCAGCCATGAGCTTACGCATGCGCGGGGTGGTTTTGGGACCCATCGCATTGATGACATTGTCGGTGAAGGTAGGATCGAAACGGTGCGTCGCCATTTTTGCGCGTAAATCAGTTTATTGCGATACGAGATGTCCAAGTGCGACTCGAAAATACAGAAAGAAGGAGAGAGGATTTCAGTAATACAGGAGTATGTGATTATTGAAAATCCACGAGACTGTTATATACCCCGGTGATCCGACGGGACTTTTCAGTCTGTCATCCAACCAGATCTGACCAAAAAACATGACGCTTATTCAAGGATGCCCCCGCAAAATCTGTGCCAATGGCATGATTGGGGTTGGAGGTATCGGATATACAGAGAGCGCGGTGACAAGTCGGTTGGGGGGTTCGGAAGGGGTTGCGCTTCCGATTTCCCCGCAGTCGGGTAGAACCCTGTGGGGAGCTGGGCGAATTATTTTCTTGCCTTCAATACGATGTATAAGTTACATTTTATCCCAATTTGGCCACCGGGGTTAAGTGCTATAGTAAGATAACACGCTAGGTTTACTCTAGGGCCCTTCAGCTCAGCAGGACCCTATGACCTCCGCCATATAGTCAACCCTCTAGGGCTCGAGGCACCGGGGTTACCTCGGTTTAAATCCGAAGCGGGGAGGTGTAAAAGATTCCATACTTGGATGTTTAGCCCATTGGAAGGATAATCATTTGTATTTCCCGCGCAGGTCTGTGTCGAGCTGAATAACAGAAAGCTCGGCTGGGTATGATAATCCCTACAGGGTGTCATATCACCACTCATCGCCGGCCCTTGGGATTCCCCTTCTTCGTAAGAGTCTCCGGAAGTTCTTGTAGAACCTCCCCATGCTCCCAGAGCTTACCCAGCCCAGCCTTGCGTTCTACCACCACATCAAAAAAGTCTAGCGAGACAAACTTCTGCGCTTCACCTTTTTCAGGCTGCTCGCCCTTCGCAACAGGTATGCCCTCGCTAAGAATGACTCCGTTCTCACTGCGCCAGAATGGTACACCAGCTTTCAGCGCTTTACGCACATCGATATAAATCAAAACCTGCGCATCGCGCCGCATACCCGAGATGACGCGAGAGTCATCGGGTTTCGCTTTACCCTGTGCGGCATCCTCATTGTGAACAGCAAGCACCGATTCTAATGACGGGCCAGTAGCGAAGTGAATGTGGTTCCGGCCCATACAGCGTAGTCCACCGGATTGTAAGATCGCAGGCCATGTCGCGTGGAACGTGCCGTGGACGACGGTATCGGGTAGTTTCGATTCGTCGGACAGAGAAAGCGGCTCGAGGAAAGAGGCAGAGTCAACGGTCTTGATGCTGTGTCCTTGTGTCGCGCGAATTAAAAAGTTCGCCGGG